TTTTAATCGGAAGTTTTGCTGCTTATAATCGTATATTGCGTCCGATGAAGATGGTCGGGAAATTGAACGGAACAAATTTAAGAACGTCGTTCCTGCATATATTATCTCTATTTATTGTGTGCACAATAACTCCTATAGAACTGGTGTATTGTGGTGTAAATTGTAATACGTCGTCATGTATATTGCAACGTCGCAGCGTTTGAACCCCACAGTTAGTAGCTTTCACGCTGTTATGCGGGTGCACGAATGACGTAATATGTTTAAAGCTCTGACAATGGGTGTACGGACAACACAATAACAGAACAAGATAGGTATCGTTGAATCGTAATGAGATAACCGTGGCCGGACAACATATCCATAGCGGAATAACATGACCGGTGTTGGATCCATGATGTTCGATATCGATGTTCCGTATCGACGGAAGCGTGTTTACAGAACGCGGCTAACAGATCGCGTGAGATTGACGAAAACTTTTAACGAAAACATCTGCGATTGCACGTGTGGGAAGTTGTCGCTGTGTCTCTGGCCGGAAGAAAAGCAAGTCATCAGCAACAAACATCTGCTGCTGGATATTTGCACCGCAGACAGCGCTGTGTCCAGTATGGGCAGAGTAGAGCGCGGTGATTGGACAGGCCATAAGCGATTGTTTTGACCTGGTTTAGTCGAATCATCGGGATAGTGCCCGTGGTTCGTTCTCGTAAGTAATTGCCTAGATTCTCGCGTTTCGTAAACGGATCAGATGACGGCGCTCAGGAACGCGGGGTTAAGCATAAATACGAGAGATATTGCGGTAAGTGATTCATATGAGGTACGAAGCACTGTTCTTATCCGTTGAGTGCAAGCTTTTAGATTTGTACGAACTACTGAGTGTTAAAATGAAAAAAACGAACTACTAAAAAATGATGGTCAAAAATGACGGCTTCTTGAATTTTCGTGTTTTAACTTTGATAATCATGAAGGGCGTGATCTATAGTTGTGGAGAAAAAGACTCTGCTTAGGTATTCTATATTCGGATAACTTATTCTGTCCTATTCATTCCAACTCGCAGGATAAAGATATTTCAATTTATAGTTATTGCAGAAAGTAGTCGACGTAGACGTACATAAGCAAGCAGAGGCTCTTTACTACATTGAAATATAAACACGTCTTGGTCTAAGACTAGGAAAGTTTGCCAAGCGAGTCGCCTCTTTTGAAATCAAAATAAGATAGAGCAAGTCACTACATGTCACAGTGTGTCTAGAGTCACGGGCATATATTTAGCGCACATCGTCGGGCATATGTTTTCTTATACGCAGTGCAGAAAAGTACATTAAAATCTCTCACGTAAGTTAAATATTTCTAGTGAAGTTATTAAAATTACAACACTTACGTTTGTAGATCTTGCTGAAACGCTGAACAACTGACTATTGTACATACATTTTAGTCTCGCCGATTGAAACCGTGAGGGAGAGAGAACGAGTTATGGGGACCAGAAAAAAGAGGGAATGAGGAGGGTGAGAGACAGAGAGACAGAGAGGGAAGTAAGAGAGAGGAGAGAGAGAGAGAGAGAGAGAGAGAGAGAGAGAGAGAGAGAGAGCGGTGTGAGAGAGCGAGAGAGCTTGTATGCTTGAGAGGAAGATCGCGGGTGTCGGTGAAGACAATCGAGGAAGTGAGGGTAAGATTTATTATATATACCCACAGAATAATCGGAAGCGTTCGTTTGATGTATTGAGACGCACTAGGTTGACATTATAGAATTACTGTCGCGGGCACAGTGTACCGGGCGCCATAAAAATAACCAGATATCGCTGCATTACGTATTCCTCATTGAAATTGAAATTGAAATGTCGTAGAATTTTGTTGTGACGTTTTAGCTCGCGGCGTCGCGATCATTTTTCAAACGTGAAGCATCGTTGGTCCGGTAGGGCAGGCACTCCGTCTTACTTGAACTCATTATGTTTCAGAGTCAATAGTAGGGCCTATTTCTCGATGTTCACCCACCCATGGTTATGCAACTATATGAATAGAAGCCAAACCGCTTCACATTCTGCTAGCAAGGTAATAATTTAGTCAGTATTCTGTACATACTGATAATATTTGTCACATTTCTAATAATTACATTGGCGATTTACCATCGAGCCGCTGGTTATATGATCATGTAAGCTACGGACAAGTAATATAACCGGGAAATAGTGCATAGTAGCCAACAAACATGTTTACGCTATCTCGTCTGCACGTTCTCTCAACACGTTGCATGTGCTACAATAGAGACCCGTTGAGACAATATTAGGGTTCTATCATGGAGTATATTTATTGTTCAGCTATTTGTCCTACATCGAAACCTTATAGAATTCCAGTCACACATTTTGTGTCTGCATAGACTTGTACGCGTGTGTATATGCAGTAGATATATGCATAGTCTATGTGCCATTGAGCTGTATATGATATATATAATGTATTATGTTCTTATATACAGCTCAGTGCTATGTGCTTATCCACGTTTTCTACAACAGATTCTATGAACTACCCGATTTTGGCAGATATCTATGTATTATGCCAAGAGGTGGCGCTGCGTCTCTTATACTCTCAAATACACGTGTGATGCGATATAATATTCACAATAAATACCATGTTGCACAAGGAATTGTTATACCCATTAAAGATTGTAAAATTTGATCGTATATCATCCTAGTCCGGGCTAGGTACGCTGCGAAATCGCATGGTACAGACCATAGAAATAGATAGATAACCAGGTTATCTATCTATTTCTAGGTTAGATAGGTTATCTATCTATTTCTATGGTACAGACACAAAATATTCAACCGGGTTATTTTAGCAGACTAGGGGTGCTCAGTCTAGCGTGATACGTCACGCAGCAGACAGCAATGACGGTGAAACAAAAGTACCGCCGATGACATTATTAGGATTTATAATAAGCAGTTGTGATAGCAGCAGAAGAAAAACATTAACAGATGACCGAAAACTCCAGAAGCTAAAACCGGCGTATAATCGAATCTGGGTGTCATTCGCCCATTTGATCTGCGACTAGATAAGCTACCATGCAGGCGTTTCTCGGGAAAGGTTTAGCAATTCTGACATATATTTACTTAATTCTAAGGATAAAGTCGTAACAGAGAAACAAAATATGAAGGGGTAAACAATATTCTGACAAAAACAGTTTGAACGATTTTATGATCCTGTGTTGTCAAAGCTTCTGAATATACAACATTGGTGGTCTTTCCTTCTGGGGCAAGAATGAAGTGGTTTTATACCCGTAAACATGGAATATCCAAAATGTTTCCAGAAAGTTTATTGCATTAGATCGCTAGTACTCACTTTTCATCATTACAAAATGAAAATTTCTAGAACCTTCATAAAGATTTCTTACTGCACAATAAACTTTCTGGAAACATTTTGGATATTCCATGTTTACGGGTATAAAACCACTTCATTCTTTGGGAAGTCTTAGTGACAGCCTCAGCGGTCACATTTCACCTAATCCGCCCAACCATTTGTATGGTCAAGAAACATTTCTGTACTTTATAACGAATTATCTATCTGGCTTCTATTAGCCACGAATGACTGTTTTTTGGCCTCCGCTGAGGTACTGCATATCCAATAAAATTAGAAGTCAACGGTGCATGCATATCCCATGATACTCTCGGCCCCCATGGACAACCGCCTATAGCCGGATAGACGAACAGACGAACAATCATCGAAAATACTAGGTTAGATAGATTCAAGTAGAAACGTGCACATTCCCTATGTGTGCCTTCCAATACCTTCTGGATAGATTGTTCTGGCGAAATCATAATCAGACTCTTTACCTCGTCGTTATCCCTGTTACTACATCTATGCGCCATTATATGATCGAAGTTGTTTACGCGATATGAGTGTAGAGTCACTTCAAGATCAATAACAAAATTGCAGACACAAGTGCAGGTGCTTTTTACTTTATAAGTATATGGTACCCAAACGAGTTTCTGTACATGATTGTGTGTTTAGGTCGCGCGTGGCCGTACACACACAATTTAGCCCGGGAGAGCATTTATAAACTGAAAAAAACTGATGAACACAATAACTAGTTTGATGAAGGATCAAATTTGGCGAAAAGATTGTACGGCATCAAACATCGAAACGTACGCCATCATATCCTACTGAAAAAAACGTGCTTTAAATCCATATAACTATATACGCTTACATGGATGAATATATAAATAATGAATAGCGCAATATTTATGCATTAAAGATGTGCACACAAAGTGCAAATCGTTTTCAAGCGCCTATCGATATGGGGCGACGACTATATAATCTGATTCATACAGTCAGATGAAAGAAGTTATGAACTAAAAGCTCAATCCTTCCCGTTATTCCTGCAAATATCAGTTCCATGCACGCGGCTTTGTTATGTAAAACAGCTTAAAGCACGGCGGAGAGGAGACTTGTTGGAGACTTCGTATGTGATGGCTTTTAGCATGTGCATGGTAGACCTGCCACAGACACGAAATTCGTAAGAATCTAAGATATAGTACGTTTCGTTCATAACATGGTAGACCTGCCGCAAACATGAAATTCGTAACAAAACCTGATATCTTAACCTGATAGCTTCCGTTCGTTACAGTTTAGTTTGACGTGCCCATAAAACGCGCTTCATGTGTTGACGTTCAAGATGTCAGGGATTCCACGATAGGATGTGTCATGACACTTTTTGGAATATAATTTGGTTGGTATTTCGAACAATGGGTTAGGTAAGAAGGCGGGCAGATATAGGCTGGTAGGTTTAATTCTCTGATATACCCCAGAGAACCTGTTGATGCATCAATATGTATCTTCCCAGTATAGTAGCGATTACGTAGGCTCTACCTTTTATAATAAAAAAAGCTTATGTTATCGGGTCAGAAACCAAGCCCTACACGTTCAGGATTAAGCGGGATTCTTTGAGCAGTCTCATCGACGGCTCGGCGTAGTCTATTTGCGGACTTGGAAGAACACTTTAGGGAGGCCCATGCTATCTTACTTACCCAGGAATCCCGCCCGCTTCCATCCTATTGGCCAGCGTGACGTCATTTGACCACACGTCATACTGCCACTTCTTCTGGCCGAGGACACCACATAGCACACGGCCCGTGTGAATGCCTACTCGCATGTTAAGTTGCACGTCCGTGGCCTCCACGACCGAACTGCAAGAGAATTCAGCAATGAGATTTAGATATTGCGCGCAGCCTATATGTATATATAAATGAGCGAAATTCTATACCAACGTATCTATCTATCTCTCTCTCTCTCTCTCTCTCTCTCTCTCTCTCTCTCTCTCTATATATATATATATATATATATATATGGACAAAGTACTTTTTCTTCCCGAAAGGCTGCAACAAGAGCGATGATGACGAAGATGATGACTATTATGTGAGTAATAACGATGATGCTGGCACTGCCGATGATGTCAGTTATGAAGATTCTATCGATCTTGACTATGATAATGAGGACGACAAAGGCGGCGACGACAGCGACGATGACGACAACCATCACCACCGTCACCACCATCATTTGTGTGTGTGTTACCATGCACGTTTCAGTTCACTTCCGCTAGGTGCGCTGGCTGTAGACTTACAAACACAGGCTAAGGGGCAACCACAGTCCTCCCCCACCTGCACGCTCGCACTAATCCGGATCCAATTAATTATTTAATTAATTAAGAAGAAATTTCACATTGAGAGAATTCAGCTGCCTTGGCGGAGGTCTGTGCTCTCCGAGTGCTCTAGTTTTATATATAGAGAAGCCATCTAAAAGGTTATTGCATGGTTTGCTCAGGAAGCATAGAGTTTTGTTTACATCAAATATTAATGTTGCCTTCGCCACTATGCAATAACTGTATAATATGTGTGTATAACATGTAATATTATGGTTATGATTATAGTCATGGCTAGCAAGCAGAATCGCAGCATGAGCAATTTCTGGCGCGTAATTTCGTTCAGCTAATTGAGTACTGGAGTGGGAATACATTTTTTATTACGTGTAGTATTAGGCATATACAACATTTATGATGAGATTAGGATGCAGGAATAAATATATTCTATTATTTATTACATTTATTTTAGGGTTATTTGCATAAATTTTACTATGCACAATGATCAGTTTTTCCAAAAGCTATATAAGGCAGTAGTGCGAGCAACACTTCCCGAACCTATAAGAAGAGACTAGGTTAAAAGTGTTAACATTATTGCATTTATATCGGTCTTTCGACCATTATATATATATATATATATATGGACACACACATGTATATATATATATATATAGTCAAACATTTATGTGAGTTATTCAACAGAAACCCAGAAAGTGTCCTTCATAAATTGGTCCATGTCTGCTTCATATAGGTGTTCATGTAGTGCAACTATCATTCAAGGAAAATCACGAACGTGCGCTTCATATGCAGGTGTCAATAAAGCATAGAGACGTGTCAGCCAACACAGCGCTAACTGGTATATCCCACAGAAGGCAATCATTTGTGCCGCAAGGGGCGGAAGATAATTAGAACTGATGTAAATAATGCGTTTCCTGCTATGACTACCCTTCGTTAGTATACTTTCTTACCGTAGTTTACGCATCAAAATTAATATTTACATTATTTCCCGATGCCCGGAGTGCTACGGTTTTTGCTAATATTTTTAATTATGACGATGACGGATATATATAACCCGCTATATACGCATTACCCGTGTTAATATGCTTCAGTGACTGAGGAAAAGCAAGCCAGACGCTCAAACTTTAGCCTTAATATTTTATCGAATAATACAATATAATATAATGGTTCCTCATAATCTAATAGCAACGATAGCAACAGATTTGCCTCTGCAATGAAAGACCATTGCATAATACCATCTAAAAATAAAATATAAAACCACGTAACATGTGATAGGGCCGTAGCAGGATCGTAAAAATCACTGGATGACGATATGATTGAAATTTTGCACTGAAATTAGAATCTTCTACCCGAATATACATCATCACCGTCCGTGCATTTTCACGAAATCAAACGACTACTGTGCAAATTAAATTCACGCGCAAGAATTCAGAATTATATTTCAGATGATGAAAGTGTGTCGATTAAAGAGAAACGCACGCAAAACGATTTTTGTGATTGCTTTTAAGATCACACGTTCAGCATTTCAATTGATAAAAATGAATTTCGTACTAGTTAGATCTCATGTATGTGATGAAAGAGCGGACCAACTGCAGTTTATAAACGTAGTTTATGTGCTCTTAATGCGACACATTTAAATGGAGCAGCAGTAAGGGATTGTCCCATAAAAGTTAGTGAGGCAGCTGTTGCTCATAGCCTCAAGGAACGGTAGACACTGTGAATCGCTCGGTCGGCAGCCGGCTGCCGCACGGACACATTCACCTAGCTGAAATTCTTGTGTTACTATGTGCGTGTTTGCGTATCTGTGTTTTTAACTTCATTAGTCAATGTAATCGATCGACCATTGAAGTTTTAAATGTAGTATTTCTAGAATCTGTAGTATCGTAGTATCTACCCTGAAATTGTGTGAGATGCGCTTTAGGATGGAAAAACTTGGCTAGATAATTTGTGCTGATATAAGAGGCTCGATCTTATCGGCCTGATGGTATTTACAGCCTCTGCTAACTTTCAAAACACGTGGCCACGGGGTACTTAAACTGTTACAATAATAAAACAATTGTAAATAAATACAAATTGTATTTACAACCAAAGTCTCAATGTTTACGAATTATCTATCGACTAATAATTTCACGTAAATTCCGTTTAAATGCTCTTCTAGCGCAGTTTTACCGCACGCGCTCTACACAGAATTCCATCTTTCTGTTAGTTTGTGCACAGTGGCGTGCGTGCGGTGAAATTGCGAGACACTGTTATCAATAATAGGCCAAAGAGTATAGATAAATATTAAGATTATGACAGTAAATACATTTTGCGTATAGTTATCATTATTTTAATATTGAAACGTTCTAAGTGATTGTGCCTGGGCCCTAACTCCAAGGGATAAATAAATCTTGCCTAATTTTATCTGCCGAGTACTCCGTCGTATCCCCGTGCCTCAATTAGCACCCATGTCTTGCTGGTTCAACCCTAATTTACGCTCAGGCCTGTGGTTCTACTGTCAGTGTAAATCAACATGATAACAGTGTACACATCTCACGACTGCCAAAAGTAGAGAGGAAATCACGCGAGACAGGATGAACCGTGCGTTAATGTCGCGGAACAGGCAGTCATCATAATATTAGCAGAAGTTATATGTAATAAGCAATGTAAGAACACTAACGCAATGGCGTCTATCATGTCCAGACCCATCTCGACGCAGCAATTGGCGTGGTCAGGCCTGGCTTCTGGTAGTCCACTCACGCAGTAGTAGCAATCGCCGAGGATCTTAATTCTCATGCAGTGGTTGGTCTGCGTAAAATGAAATTACAACAACCTTCATTCTCATCCATGGTGTAAAAGTAAACTTAAAGGCTACTAGATGCCTGCGAACCTTGGGAGTATCTACGAAAATACGAAGCTGTTTCATGCATTTATGAGAAGGTGAAAGTTATATGTTATATATATATATATTATAATATATATATATATATACACTAATTACTTTTATAATATTACACATCCAATACTCCGTACAGTATACATCTACTGGTTAACGAACATGATTAGATATCTATATATTTTTAATTATATATATGGCCTAATTCATCCAATCAGGTTGTTTTTTTACCTCCGCCAGCGGCGTGGGCGGAGTTATGTTTTCACCGGCGTGCCATTGAGTGTTGGTTTGTCGTGTGTGTTACATGCACGGTTTCAGTTCACTTCGCTAGGTGCGCTGGCTGTAGACTTAAAACACAGGCTAAGGGGCAACCACAGTCCTCCCCACTGCACGCTCGCACTAATCCGCGCATCCATAATTATTTAATTAATTAAGGAAATTTCACATTGAGAGAATTCAGCTGCCTTGGCGGAGGTCGCTGTGCTCTCCGAGTGCTCTAGTTTTATATATAGGAAGCCATCTAAAAGGTTATTGCATGGTTTGCTCAGGAAGCATAGAGTTTTGTTTACATCAAATATTAATGTTGCCTTCGCACTATGCAATACTGTTTAATATGTTGTGTATAACATGTATTTATGGTTATGATTATAGTCATGGCTAGCAAGCAGATCGCAGCATGAGCAATTTCTGCGCGCGTAATTTCGTTCAGCTAATTGAGTACTGGAGTGGGATCCATTTTTTATTACGTGTAGTATTAGGCATACCACATTTTATGATGGATTAGGATGCAGGAATAATATATTCTATTTTTATTACATTTATTTACGGTTATTGCATAAATTTTCTATGCCACCATGATCAGTTTTTCAAAAGCTATATAAGGCCGGTAGTGCGAGCAACACTTCCGCCCTATAAAGAAGGACTAGGTTAAAAGTGTTAACATTATTGCATTTATATCGGTCTTTCGACCATTATATATATATATATATATATGTGATGTGTCGTGTGTGTGTGTGTGTGTGGTGTGTGTGTGTGTGTGTGTGTGTGTGTGTGTGTGTGTGTGTGTGTGGTGTGTGTGTGTGTGTGAGTGTGAGCGTGCTGTGCGTTGCGGTCGCGTACGCGTGCGTGCGGTGTGGGTGTGTGTGTGTGTGTGTGTGTGTGTGTGTGTGTGTATGTGGTTCGGATTGTGTGTTGTGTGTGCTGTGTGTTGGTGCTGTGTGTGTGTGTCGTTGTGTGGTGTGTGTGTTGTGTGTGTGTGTGTGTGGTGTGTGTCACGTGTTGTAAGGTCTCGGAGGCCGGTCTTGGCCTGGAGGCGGCCTCGAGACCGCTTTTCTTGCGTCTCGCGTCTCGGTCTTGGCTCGGCGGTGCAATGACTCGGACTCGGACTCGGATCGAGCCTCCGGACTCGAGGACTCGGGTCGCAGGCCGAGCTCGAGCGCACTACATACATTGTAATACGAGGCAGTTTACAGAAATTTAAAATTAAACTCTTAGGTTTTCTAGATACACGGCCTATCTGTGTACGTTTTCAATGGCTCGATTAGATTCTTGTCCCTTGGTTTGAATCTGCCTGTGACTTCGTCCCTTTGCGCTTTTCCTACCACTTCCTTCTCTTCTTCTCACTTCGAAGGGTACTAGCACTCTCTAATTTGGTTCAACAAGCCATTCATTTGCGTAAAACGAAATGGATCCGTTACTTTTACACGTTTCGTATGACTCGTGTGTATGTGTTTTCGTGCGCAGTTGCAGCAGCAGATGCGTGATATTGTTCGATACAAGCGCACGCACGCACGCACGCCACGCGTCTACGTGCACCGCACGCACACCTCGATGCACGCACGTGTAACGTGCACGCGCACGCACGCACGCACGCACGCACGTGTACCTGCACACACACGACGTACGCACGCACGCACACATGCCACAGACGTGTACCTGCACCGCGCACACGTTACGCACGAACGTGTACCTGCACACGCGGCGCCACAGGCCACGCACGCACGCACGCCACGCGCACGCACGCACGTTGTACGTACACACACACACGCACGCACGCACGCACGTGTACGTACACACACACACGCACGCACGCACGCACGTGTACGTGCACCGCACGCATGCACGCACGTGTACGTGCCACACGCACTCACGCACGCACTGTGTGCGTGCACACGCACGCCACGCACGTGTACGTGCCACGCACGTGTACGTGCACACGCCGCACGCGACATATGCCACGCACGTGTACGTGCACATGCACGCATGCACGTGATACATGCACACGCTACGCACGAGCACGACCGTGTATCGTAACTACTAACAGCGCTTTCTATCAGAACATGTGGTCATTCATCTGTAAATGGCAAGCAGCACGCTTCGCTTCTGCCAACCACAACACATAACAAATAAACGTGACCTGATCTATGACGTCACGTGAAACATCGCTATACACTTTCGAATGTCTACGATGCACTGTTGCGATTTTTTCCCTTTTTTCCTTTTTTTCCGATTTTTTTATCAAAACTGGACTCGGACTCGGACTCGGACTCGGGTGGTGTGGACTCGGACTCGGACTCGGGTGGCGCGGACTCGGACTCGGACTCGGACTCGGACTCGGACTCGGGGGGTGCGGACTCGGACTCGGACTCGGACTCGGGGGGTGCGGACTCGGACTCGGACTCGGACTCGGTGGGTGCGGACTCGACTACAACACTGCCGCGGGGCACTGCGTGTGTGTGTGTGTGTGTGTTCACGTGTGCGTGTGTGTGTGCATGCGATGGCGGGTGAGTCTTACCTGTGCTAACTGGTCAAAGCGTCCAAATAACTCGTTTAGAATCCTGACGAGCTCCTGTGCCGTGCATTGAGACGCCAGCGCCGTAAACCCAACAATGTCGGCGAAGAGTATGCTGAGAAAACACACACCATCATCACAAACTATATAATCGCTGCAGTTAGAATCGTAAGCCGCTTTTTATCAAACATGCGGAAATAAATCTGGATATTTTATCGGCGAAGTCGTGTGCGCCGCTAATCTTTCAGCGGCGACAGCTATAAACGTGCGACACGGGCAAATGTCACCGAAGACGGCAGTTCCCATTTACATATTAAATGTCAGTACGTACTGCAATGTAATGGCCGCAAAGGGGTAGCTAAATATAGAGAGAAAGAAGATAAGAGAAGGTTCATTTTCGCGTCAGTGCAGTGGAAGGAAGAACGTGACACAGGTAGGTATAATCCTCCAGCTGAACCAATGTCGTAAGCAAATGTATATCATTATAGATATCACTTCGTGTTCGTATGTGTCTCGTTTAGTGCGTGCGTACATGCTAAATGTGGGCGCCCCACGCATCGCGGGGATGGATCATAATATACACGTGTCACGTGACCACTATTAAATCACAACCGGGTTCACCCACAGGTCACCCTCTAGGGTTGACATTAACCCATCAGGACAACAACGCGTTACATCATTGAAACACATTCGATGATGTGACGCGTTGTTGGCCGAAAACTCAGGGTCCCTAGTGCGGATATTAAAGCCGGGCGTTGATTCGTGGTGACTAGCTCATGTGGTTGAGGATGGCATGAATTTCGGGATGGACGTTTGCTTACTGAGAATATTGATATTTGTTCCGCAAAATATGGTTTATATTCGGCTGTGCGGCTGTTCATGTGATGCTCGTGAGTAAATTTGTGAAGACCTTTTAAAACGCCTGTCAACATATCACGAAAATTACATGTGACACAGCGGAAGCGTGTGCCTACCAAACCTCATAGAAATGTTCAGACGGATATCACTGCGATTTCTTGACTAAATGGCCAGGGTGATATAATTGTTCAAATTTCGTAGATTTAAGTTTTTCGCTCTGAATTGTGTTTACGTATGGGACAACGTCTTTTGAGGACAAACGACTTTAAGGTAACATTTGAGTACGTAGTTATTGAATTACGCCCAATACCTCATAGGTAGATTAAGACTAGGATATTGGATGCTCTCCCTAGATAAGGCTCTGCTTACCCTCCTCTCTAGAAGACGCTCGGCATTATTTACTCGGCATTTTACATATAACAAAACAAATACTTCCTGGTAGCGAGGAAAACATGGAGTTTTGTGAACTGACAAAATCAACGTTGCCCAGAAATGGAGGTTGAGGATAACGATAATTTGTAATGTAATAAGGCATAGTAGTTTCGAGTTTATAACTATATAAAATGGGCGTGCGCGCGTGTATGTGTGTGTGGTATGTGTGTATTTATTAATTTATTATTATATAACTATAACCAACGTGTTATTATACCATCGATTCTACGCAATTAGTAAACGTTGTTAACTAATTTGATTGTGTCTCATTTATTTTTCATATGCGTATCCTACACTTAATTATTGTTTATTGTTTAATTGGCAAAATTCCCTCCGTAATTGACCAATTACCATTTACAAAATTAATTTTACAAAATCATCTCAATTTTATCATTGAACATTACAGTTAAGTAATTACTTTTAAATAATGGAATGTCTAATATGATTTTACGCGGTTCTATCGTGAATTATAAGTTGCTTTTATACAATTATATAAGCAATAAACGGATTCCTACTCTAAAAAGACTCAATATTCACAAACAGCGTTTATTTATGGCTTCATATGATAGATATGACTCATCACCGTTCGCTCATACTACGTGTTTCTGTTTCCACTGCTTTAATGAATCCTCATGTTACGTTACAAAAGTCACACGGGGGAGAGCGCAGTGTATCTCCTTCGCATCGATAAGATATATCTCTCCCGCATGCTTACCTTACGTCCTCGTGCAACTGAATGTAGATTTTGCGAAATTGCAGTTCCTGAGGTGAAACGATGTCTCTCTTCATCTCCATGGCGACGTGCTGTGGCAGCACACTGACAAGTAGCCGCTCCTGCAACACGATGAGGACGATAAATAGGCGAAGACTATCACGATATCAAGCATATTTTATAGTACGGGTGCGTGCGTGCGTTACGCACGTGCGTGTGTGCGCATGTGTGTGTGCGTGGCTGCGTGTGTGAGTGTGCATGCGTGTGTGCGTGCGCGCATGCGGTCGTGCGTGCGTGTATGTGCTTACGGGTTTTACTTAGGATGCATCCTAGAATATCATGCTATCCATAGGTAGTCAAATATATAATCAAAGGTGGGAAAGCTTACAATCCTGTAAAGGTGGCTATTGATGCTCTTTGAAGTTTAGTACTGCCGCCGCAGTCGTAAACAAACGCAGTTTTCCAGCGCCTGGTTATATTACGTATGGTAAAGTAAGCTCTCAACCATACGCGGAGTATCTTAGAGGTGCGTATAATTCGAATACAGTAGACGTTATAACGCAAAATACGGCTACAATCCGTCATGGTTAAGACTGCGGTTGAATTGCGCATAGGCTTATTTGATGTTGCTCCCCTGCCCGTAATAATATCGCCAGCGAATTGCTTCCACTCTGACGATTTTTATATAGTGATTAAGTGGTTCTCTCGTCATTAATCGGCCGGGAGTGAAACATGGGTGAGCGAGGAGGCGTCGCTCTAGTGGTGTGCGCATAGTGAGCGAGTGCAGGGACTGTAACTCCTTACAATACGACCGGCAACTTATTTGATGTCCCTCAGCCAACCTGCTCGCTTCTATACTCTCCACCTCTAGCGCCGCACCATCTCACACGCTACGTGCACAGCGGTAGGCAAGATCTTGGGTAGATTTGCTCCACTCGCGGTGGCAAGCCACGGTATCGTCGAGTAAGACGCTGCAATCGGCGCATACTCATCGATATTGGACCACGAAAATTGGGCGCCAAATTACGAGACGTAAATTGCGCTCGCCCGTCGCGGACGACTGCCCCAGTCCGCAGTTCAGTGGATGTCGTCTTATTGGAAGTCAGCTGCCTTCAAGAAAATCATTTCCACAATTCTATTGCAATCGTGCTTGCGCTGCAGTCCTCCTTAAGCGCGTCAATTTACAATCAGTTTGGGTGAACACGGCGATGCTTTGCTGAAGAACCAAAATTAGGTGGAATAGAACTAGACTGCAGACACTTGGCTATCAGTCGTGTTTGTTGTCTACTCGTCTATTCTCTGTGTATAACATCCTCATTTTTACTGTTATTATAGTTGGCTCAATAACGGGGGTATGTAGAGCCGGTACCGAGAAGAAACTGTTTTGGCATATTTTATCTCGAAAAGTGCAGATTAATGTAATGGGGATAGTTAGCAATTATACGTCTGCTGTACGTGTTAGATTGGTTTCCTATAGATATACATGAAATGCAGAGAAATTGTGTTTACCCCAAAAAAACAAGCACCATTTTGTCTGCTTTCTGTTGTTGATTTTGAATCCCGGACTACATATTTGATATACTTTGGCTCAAACTTGACAAATCAAAAATGTTATAATTTAAGTACCTTGGAGCATTAATTGTAGTCATGTTTGTAGCATTAATTTTAAGAAAGTAAAAGTTGCTCCTATGCGCACTAAGTTTCTCGATAATAAAATCCTTTATATAAAAAGAGCTTTACCAGCTTTTCGTTTTCGTCCTCCATCTCGAGTCGAGCGTCGATGCAGCTGCGTGTGTCTAGGAAGGCCTTTCTCTGTGTGCGCTCCGTCAGATGGTGAACGAACATGCCGGCGAAGTTCACAGCGATGAACAAAATGACGTTGGCGACGAGCTGAAACAAGCAGTGGACAACGATTGTCGAACGTATGTCTTTCGTGAACACGGGCTGCGCCTACTGTGTCGCCGTTGCGAGAAGATGAGAGAAAAAACTTTCGTGAAGCAAAACGTGTATTGCTCTCGTGTGCGCTCGTAGTTATTATAAGGCCTTTGAAACGCAGGAATGGTTGGCACTATTACGGCTATAGTCAGCGACAAGCAACGTATTATATAATCATATCACGGGTTAGTAATACCTAATAGCTATGAGCTATTATTAGATCATATGAAAATTACGCTAACTATAGCAGTTTTGTGTAGCTTGCTTCGAACCTAGCATTCTAAGAACGACACTCTAAGGAGCAGAACTGACTGGCGCTAGTGCAAAAACTCTTACTAACTCGCGGAGATAAAGTATAATCGTTACGGCTTGAACATCGCAAGACGCTGGGATGAAAGCGGCGAATACTGGTTATTGTTGCCTAGTAAATTACGTGCAAATTTTTTTCGCCTACTATTAGCTAAGTCCGTAGCTGCGGCAGTCTGGCTTTGCGCGCATGCACTGATTAAGTAAGCAACGGTGACACGTTGTCAGACGGCTCGCGTGCGTTCTAACGACCTTCACATCTGGAGACTTCGCGTGCGAAACTGTGGGTGTATTTGTTATTAAAAAAAATATTTGTTCATCGATGGCAAAATATTTGGTAAAGCTAGAAATTAAAACGGAGGTTGGTGCAAATTAAGTGGTAAATATGGATTTAAATATTCCTTTATTATTATTACACACATACGCATATACTTACGTAAACGCATACGCATACGCATATGCAAGTAACTGTAGACTATATCATCTATATACCATCACATCCGCACATATTATATTCGTCGGGAAGATATAATTGCGCTCTTGAAATGAAACCAGATATTCTTATATCCTCAACTATTTTTATTTTCACTTCGCGCATGCACGTGGTTGTCAGTATTGCAGCCCAATATACGAGTACCGGGAACCATAGAGTATCTGTCACTCGCTTACTATGGGTTCTCTCATGTGAGGCCACTTTTCTTCATCATCAAGTATTCCATATTATACACGGGTGCGATGGCGCAGGCTTCTGCGTTTACTTCAAGCTTCTATCTCTAAATGCTTATACGTACAGTTATTACAATAGGTTATTACGGTATTATTATTACGGTATATTACTATTATATATTATTATTACTATTATATTAAGTATTAATTATTGGATTATTAATTATTATTATATTATTAGTATTGATTAAGTTATTACAATAGGTTATTACGGTATTATTATTACGGTATATTACGGTACTTATTACGGTACAGTCACCTTCGTGGTTTTCCGAAACAATAGGTGTCTTAAACATAGTTAGCGAGGCGAAGGTTTCGCCAAATCTAACGGCGAGTAACGTCACGTCAAGTACACGTCACGATATAGGCCAGGTTGAATAGACTGATAACGAGGCATATGCATGCGTACGAGTGTGCGACGTGAAGGCTTCGTAGGCCTATTACGTATGCACGCAAAAGAGCGTTCTCATGTCATTAGTTTAAGTATAGGCTGGCCAGTTAGGGCAAGAAGAAAGGGGAGGGCTAAACCAGATAGGCGTGTGTGGGGTGGGCTGTAATCTTACCCGGTGGGTTTAGAGGCGGCGATTTCTAGCGTAGTTGCATACAGCGTAATTATGAACATTATATTTCTGAACCAACAAGTAAAAGTAGAAGTTTGACATGCCTATAATTGCCTGCTTCGTATTTTTTTCATCGTTTCCTGGTATTGAGTGTCGGGCGGCGAGGGGGCATGTTCATGATTTTCATTACCCTGGATCCACCAGTGTGCCGTACAAACTCACATCAACGCTGACGCGTTTGCTCTTTCTAAATTTAGCTATGCTCGGCTTACAATACAAAAATGCCGACGGATATTGTAAGTCAATGCTATAGCCGCGATGTATTTTATGCTATTTACGCGAGGTAAAATAATCCGGGTCATACGCCTATATGCGCTGTAAAATGCGTGATAAAAAGTCAGGTTACTTCGTATATTTATTCCCCCGTTTCGAGGTTGTGTGAAAACGCGGGATGCTTGAATATGTCACATTCTTACTCACGTACACATGTAGCAGGACTATTTAGACTTTCCTGCATGTGGCTTTAAGTGTACGTACGTATTCACGGCTGTCTGCATGTCTGCATGGTGTGTGCAATGGCTTGCATTAACAGCGCAACGTTTGCCAACGAGTTTTGCCATTTTGCACTTTCATTTCCAAGACTCTTCGCCTGTGTTGGAACACTTGTCTATACATTTCAGCATTCAAACAATAGAAGCTCCTTCATACCGAAAACTAATTGGTAATGACAAACATGCGAGTACTGTGAGGATTTTACTGCAGGCGGATGGCAATAACTCAAATTGAGTCCTAAGCTAAGGATCTTTTAAAAAATAGCAGCTTAAATGACATCGGCTCGCCGCTGCCCTCGAAAAACGAAGAAAAATATAATCTGCGTTGTTTTGCTTATCGCGTAGGCGCAGGTTTATATGATACATATCACCGAGAAACGTTTGATAAACGATAAAGTCGGCGCAATTACTTTGTAGTACGCTGTATTTTTAGAAGCAGCGCACGAGCTCAATTGCTCAGCTAGTTTGTCTCCATTGCTATTAAAAGACTACTGCCGCGTACGTAATAGCCATCACAAATATTGGTCTCAAAAGCATTGCTATGCCGTCCATTACGCATGTATATATAGATGAAATTAGTAGGGCGGGCTGAAATTGCTTGCAATCGCACTGACAACCGCATGAAACCGCAGTCTATAGAGACACATGATTGCGAAATTTCCCCAAGAAATATGCGAATAACTATGGAAAGCTAGCTGCAGCAGTAATCGGTGCTGTAACAGTCGACTCGATGCAATATTTACAATGTTCAAATACGCATCCTGTCTAAGTCAAACGCCATATACACGGCAAAACCTCATCGCCATCATAAGATCACAGGATGGTCTGTAGCCGGGGGCAGTGTATCAGTAGCAATCGCTCGGTTTTATGAATTCGAGACTGTGCCGTAAGACCGTTATATGGCCTTAACTTTATATCTACTCGCTAGCGATTCATCGACACGCGATTATAACCTTGCAGCTGTTATTCATTGAAACCGCTAGAGCTGGCTTCGTACTCTTTCTTTACAGCGCACGGCCGTACGGTGTAATCTCAGCCGATGTGTAAACACTCTGCAGACGTGCCAGCCATCAAGCACTTCTTAACACTATCGAATGCTGTGAAATGAGGAAGCGATGGCGACTTGAGCAGCTGAGCAGCACTACGGACAGTGTGACGTGAGGTGGGGGGGGGGCGCTGCGAGTGTTTAGTTTAGAAAGAAGCGGCCATGCGAGCAGCCGATGTGTGTGTGTGGGGGGGGGGTGTTGCTATCCCCTGGGCGTGGAGGGACGGTCACGTGATACAGTTGACGTGTTCTTCAATATCAACACCTCCAACACCTCCAACGATAACCCTAACACTAAATATATATATATATCTCGGAGCGCTATATATAGGGGGTGTGATCCACAAAAATTAATCTATGGTGTGGGGACAGATATCATGATGCAAAAACTCTAACCCTAACCCTAACCCTAACCCTAACCCTAACCCCAACCCTAACCCTAACCCTAATCCTAACCCTAACCATAATACTAATACTAATACTAGTGCTCCGGTTGTGCGGTGTCCGCTCCCCCCCGGGGGATAGCCATTACGCCGTGGTGTGTGTGTGTGTGTTTGTGTGTGTGTGTGTGTGCGTGTGCCGTTGCTTGCGTGCGTGTGCGTGTGGTGTTGTGCGTCGTGCTTGTGCGTGGTGTGCGTGTGCGTGTGCTGATGCGTGTGCGAATTGCGTGTTGCGTGAGCGTGGAGCGTGATGCGTGACGTTCGTCGCGTGCGTGCGTGTGTGGCGTGTGTGTGCTGTGTGTGAGTGTGTGGTGTGTGTGTGTAACGTGTGTGTGCTGTGTGTTGTGTGTGTGTGGTGTGTGTGTGTGTGTGTGTGTGTGTGCGTGCGTGTGCGTGTGTAGTGTGTGTGTGTGTATGGTGTGTGGTGTGTGTGTGTGCGCGTGTGTGTGTGTGTTGCGGTCCCTTGGCCGACGTGCGCGGAACATGCGACCACTCCGAATAGACATCGAATCGGCGATTGTCGTGCTACATCCGCCCGCCACAACGTTTGTATCTATTCTTCTGTATATCCGCCACATGTCACTTCCACAATTTATAGGAGAAATGTAGCCTAATTGAATTGTGTTACATGGTAGGAAATGGCAAAGACTGATTGATTGGCCTTTGTGCATTACGGCAGATCGAATTCTCCACTAGTCGTCTCTCAGATTGTTGTATTCTATTTTAGATCTTTTGGTTTTTGCTATTTCGCGCATGCGGGTGCGAAGCATGTCGAATGCGTGCACGAGTACACGGAGGCGGCGCGAACGAGTACGCGTCTGCGCGTAATGCTGTATGTGCGCGCGCGTATGTTATTTCATTCTTATAGTCGCTTCAAGAGCTAATAATAGGTATTATTATTAGCTATTGGGTATATGTGCGCCTGCCTCTACGAACACGTGCGTAATCCTGCGGAGCAACGTTTGCAAAACGATACACGCACACATCGCTGCGCACGCACGCACGCACACGCTCCCCCGCACAACACACAAAGACGCACACGCGTGCATACACGCGTAATGGTATCACCCCGAACCATTCGAACGTCCAATGTACGCACCAATGTAGGATCGCGCGCACACGTGCACAACGCACGCGAAGCCGCACAACACACACACGAACACACTCACACACACACACACACACACAGCACACACATACACACGCACGCCCGCACGGCACACACACGACATCACACGCACACATACACACACATCGAATAATTACCCAAACCGATTAACTGCGCTTCTTGAATGAATCGCATGAATAATAACAAGGTCGATAAATC